CCGACATCATGGGAGAATGCAATAGTGTATTTCCTTCGGAAAATACACTAAAAATGAACGATCATAACCATGGACGTATAATACAATCTAGACCGTGCATTAGGAAATTTCGGCGAGACTAGAGTCCCTTCAGGCGAGACGATAGGCAACCCAGCAAGTGTACGGGCAATGTGTACCAAGACAATGGAAATGCCTGCCGTTGCCTGATACAGGTACACTTCATTCGTATATCCGGATGTATCAACTAAGCTGAAGGCGCGTCTTTACCCTGATTGACCCCGCTAGCTGTCTTACCTCCCCCGCCTAAAGTCGGGCCTAGTGCGCGGTCTAGATTGTGTTAAAAGTCAATGATCACTACTGAGCGAGTTATAGGGTAGCCGCATTACTTTTCCTCAACAATGGGAAGTCTTAAGAAAAGTTGTTACTTGAACGTCAACAAATTTTCTAATATTTCAGAATTTATTACAAACTCTCTTTGTTCAAATATTCCATTGACAAGAGACTCAACTAATTGATTGTTTACTTCTGTTCCATCAGACATCGATGAGTGCAATATAATGCATGGGGTCTGTGGAGATGGTAAATGTATCAATACACCAGGAAATTTTGAATGCGAATGCAAAGAGGGATATGAAAGTTCAACCCTCGTACAAGTTTGCACTGGTAAGTCAAATTAAATATCAAAACTGAGTAAAATAATTTTTTATCATACACTGTTTGAAAATTACTGCATTGAAATTTTAAGCATGTCTAAAATTGGCAGACAAATCAGATGAATCTCCGTACCTAAAAAAAAAACACTGAAGTGTTTTTTTCTTCTTTAAATTTGGTGAGCTATCAGTTTCTAGAGTAAATGTTCTATCATTTCAATGAAATATTACACTAAATTATGTATACAGTAGAGTCTTGAGTATCCATATTATTTGGGAACCGACCAAATCTGAATGAGCCAAAATCTAGATAAGTACTCAAAAAATTTAAAGTCAACACCCTAAACCAACGGAAATCGTGTACATGTAGAGCATACAATTTCTCTCAAAATTTAGAAGGCTTGATAAAGTTGGATTATTTGACTGGTGCACAGAGTGGATCTCAATCCATTACTTGACTCATGTACCATTCCTGGCTACCAGGTAACAAAATCTCTCTTGTTTTTAACCAGGTTTACTCGCCAAGTCAGTCAGGATAATTGATGATATAGATGTTAGCAGTTCTGATTATCAAGACTCTTCTGTATGCGTGTATATTGTACCTTAAATTGAAGAAAATGTTTAAAATTAATCAGCTATTCGATGATGTAAAGCTCTGCAATGTGTTTTCAGAAAGTGGCATACCTCAGTTTCAAAATGTGCCTCTGGATCTTATATTTATATGTATTTTTTTCTTTTTTTTTACATAGATATAAATGAATGTGAAAGAACTCCTGGTCTCTGCCGCGGTGGCATGTGTCGGAACACTCCTGGAAGTTTTTATTGCCAGTGTCCTCCAGGACATGAACTATCGCCCGATAAACTGTCGTGCAAAGGTAGCGTAATAAAGTTTTCTTTTTATTATTTTTCCAACTGACTTTTTCCAGTAAATTACATACAATTTTTGCCCTGTCTCCTTCTCATCAAATACTTAAAATGTATGAATCCAAAATTTCTTATTTTTTTAAATTAATTCCATGTTTTTTTCTGGGAATTAAAATTTGTTCTTTTCTGCTGAATATTTAGTAATTAAGAATTACATTTCTTTCGAGAGGTAGGAATCCGAAAATTGCTAATAAAATAAGTTATTTTTTCAGATATTGATGAATGTTCACGTTCAAGTGGAATCTGCTCTAATGGCGTTTGTGAAAACATGATGGGAACTTACCAGTGCATTTGCAATGACGGTTTCCAACAAGCTGACATGAAATCTCATTGTGAAGGTAAAGACCCTTTTTTTTTAGCTTCCCAAACTATTTTTCTGAAGTTCTGAGACTTACAGAAAAGATGCACCAAAGAGTACATTGGGAGAGGCCTTTGAGGCCCCCCCCCCTTTCCAGCTCTAATGTGATTTCTGATCTGCCCAAAATAATGGTCAATGTAATTTGAGGTGTCTTGAGCAAAGAATCTGTTGATTTTGTATGAATGTGGGACACCACCTTAATGAGGCACTAGTGAATGAATTGATGGGCCACTCACCAGTGCAATCAGCACTGCTGCCAAAATTAATCATAGTCTACCTATTTGTAGTCAATTCTCTACCAATCAATGCTATTTTGACAGTGAAGCTGCAAAAATATGAATCTTGGTTGTTGTTTTTCAAAATCTCTACAACTTCTTATTTTTAAAAAGGGATCAAACTAATACCCCAACATGTTTACTAAATATTCTTAACGTCGAGAAAAAAATTCACCAAAGATTTAACAAAATAACGTCCAGTAGCTTTCTATGTGGAAAATGACAGGAAGCCTGTAACACCGCAAACCGAAATATCGACGGCATAAGTCAGCAATCATATATCTCGTTTGCGGTGTCTGAAAATCTTCGCCTCTATGTTATTTTTTTAAAGGCGAACAAATTGACATCATTCCTTGAAGTTTATGCAGAATTTTTTTCGCACAGAAGAGAAAAATCACGGTGGTTTTAAAGAATTACCGTTGAGTAGTTTTCCGTTTAAAAAATAAAGTGTGACAGGAAGTCTGCAATGTTGCAAACCGAGTTATGTGATTGCCGAATTACATCGTCAATATGCATGTCTGCAGTTTTACCATCGATATTCAACTTGCATCAATCAAGCCCCTGAGAAAGTGTATCCAAAAACAGCCATAGTTTCCTTATGACTCCTATTTTTCCTAAATTGTATAAAGTTTTATACCTCCGTAGCACTAAAAAAAAAATTGATGTTGAGATCATTTTTAATATTTTTATCATGATAGGGTTTAAGTTCTTTTCTTTCACATATCCTATCCAAATTTTACAAACTACAAGTCAATTTCTTTTCACGAAAAATATTAATTCTGTAAAAGTCAATTACTAGTCCAGGTTCTTATGTACTCCCGTGGAACGGTAAGTGAAGCAAGTGTGGAAAATAT